CCCCCGCCGCCCCCCCCCCCGCCACTCTGTGGCTTGCCCGCGCAAGCGTTCCTATCAGTCCATCTATGCAATGCGTCAACATATATAATATGTGTATATATGTATAAAATACGTGGCTTATAGGTTTCACTAATACAGGCATTGATTTTTACCCCTCCTTATCTGAGGCGACAATCCTAAACGGCAAGTGATAGTCTGCATTACACCTCCCTAGATGATTGCGTATTTTTTATTAGCCACACTGTAGGGCTCTTTTAGTAGCTGTAACGTCGGTCTGTTTCCTACCTGTTCTGTAACCGAAGTCATTCACACCTTCAGAATGAGTGTGGTATTTTCGGCCCCGACTGAAAAAATGAATGAAATATACTACATAACGGATTCAGCTGACGAATGTTTTCTGACAAGGGCTGATTCATTCTATTGATCCATCCGAAGGTCAAAAGAAGTGTAGTGCACCGAAATCGTACTAAACATTTAATATAAATAGACTGCCATTCAGTAAGTGGTGTTTACACATTCGTTCCAGAATTAGTAACGCGTACTGCGCAAGTCCAACGTATATGATTCTTAAAAAGCCTCCTTGTTATGCAAATTGCATGAAATCTTCCCACGTGATTTGCATGCCACACCTTAGAGGAATTTATCAGTGCCTGTAATCGTACTGCTCTATCATATACTGTGAATAATATCGATTATAAATAATTTTAATAACTGTTAGTATCATTCAGCGCATGTCTATTTACAAACCCCGAGTTCTAAACAAATAACGCTTAACAAAAGTAAGACAAAGAATATTAAAGTTCTTCTTAAATTGCTTCTTTTACAATGAATTTTCGTTTCCCTGTTCTATAGTTAATTAATAGCCTATATCAATTAGGAGGGGGAAGAATGATTATGTATTCTGAGTTGACAAGCGCTGGGTTAGAAATCGTTTGTAGACTATTTGAGTTAATTATATTGAAGCAAGGAAATAAATAAGCTAATAGACAGCTGTTCATGGTTTTCCCGACCGTTAGCTGACCCGGAGGCCACATGTGTCCTTAGGTTCGAATTACAGTTACTAGATCCTATCTTTATCAGCTTAACGTAAGTACACATCTACACACCTTACTTCACTGAGACACAATTTACGATATCCCATCTATACAAGGGTCTCTCAAGTGGTCTCTTTCTTTTGGATTTCCCTAATAAAATTTTATATGCATTTCTATCTTTCCTATACGAACAATGACGGATATCGTACATGAGTCATGAAAGTAAAGAATAAATCAAATTAAGCAAAGATAAACCAGTGCTGACCAACGAGCTATTGGGTACGGAGTAATACGTTAATCACGAAACCGCCGGGGTCACAAATCTGTCAATAATAAAATCAGTCACCTGGGGTCGGGAAAGAGCCAATTTTCAAACGTCGTTTTTATCAAATATAAATCATACAATAGGCAATTACAAAACAATATTCGTTTTATGAATTAACCACAGTTTACAGAATTATTATAATTAAAGCCATATTAACACGATAAATCGTATATGAAAGCATTCCAGTGTGTTTGAATATTATATTGTATTTATGACGCTAAACACAATTTGTTAATTCTTAAAGACATTTAATTCAATTCAATTTTAAACCCATGTTAATTTACCAAAAAACATTTTAACCTTAATTCAAATTCAGAACCTATTTGGCATATATGAAACTTGAGATTGGCATAATATTTTAATACGGAAACATGTCGCTATAATAAATTAAGTTTTTTTAAAAATAAACTAAGTGAGCTGAAGGCCATACAATACAATAATACAGTAAAATTCTGAATATTCAGACCCATGCAAAATGTTTTTTTATACATTGAATTTTTATAATATTCGTGACAAAATTCACTGACCAATGTATGGCCCTAATAATGGAGGCAGCAAGAACCTCTAAAACGTTGTTAAACATCGACCAGACAACACAGCGCAACAACCCAGAAGACAGAAATATTCAAACTCACCGCCGTGAAAACCTCAAATCCTACATAGTACATATAACCTAAAAATGATCATCATCAATGACACATTGCAAAGCAATTCTATTCCATTCGTGATGTTGGATTCATGACCTGACGACCTGACGAAATATTATCCTGTAGGCTACACATTAGTCATAGACCAAGATTAATAGCCTGCTACTATTGCATTTACTAACC